ATAGAGATATTGAATAAGAAGATGGAGAGTACACTACAGAGCCTTCCAGGAGCTCATTTGTAAGGGTCCTGGAGATGGAGGAGCAGATGCCCATAATAACCCTTTGGGTTCAGTCTGAGAGGAAAGACCTGAGTCATTTCCATTCACCCCTACAGACTGTTAGAGCTGGAACAGGGGAGTTTGGTGATCAACACACTGAGTGTCACAGAGAAGAATGGCAGGATAAGTATGGATGTGCTTTCTTTCTCCATGGATGAAAGGAGGTCATTCATCAGGGCAACAAGTACTGTCTCTGTATTGTGCCCTGGCATGAAGCCTGATTAGGAAGGCTGTAGGATTTTGGCAGCAGAAAGGTGGCATTGTAGGATATTTTTAGCTAGTTTCTCAGCTGGCTTAGAAAAAATAAGCCTGGAAACTGGGCATTAATTTGCAAGGTTGCTGGTGTCAAGTGATGGAGTACTGCATGTTTTAAAGTGGTAGGTGGATTTACTTCTACAAAGAAGGTGTTGACAGTCCCTGTTAATAGATGCCTTACTCTCTCTTTTAGCAGCTAGGAAGAATCCAACAGCAAAATGCTTTCATACAAATCCAAAAATTAGTAGCTAACAATCCAGTCCTGATATTGTGATGTAAAGGAAATTGTAATCATTCAGTGCAATGCACATGATGCAGATTGGAAGCAGTGTTATTATAAAATACCCGTCCTGTAGCATTTGCCTGTAGGGGACCATCTCCAACAACACAAAACTACATGTGGAATAGAGAAGGAATGCCTGGTCATTGTTTTTGCATGCCCTGAATTGCATAAACTTCTGGGATGTGATCAAATACATGGACACAGATTCTGAAAGTTTGCAATCTATCTTCAAATAGTCTTTCTTATCAGTCCCAAAATCTACAAAGAATGTTAAAGAAAGTTCAAAACTATTGCTGGAATGTACAATACAAAATAACATCTTTGATGTTCATTGCAGACTTTCTTTCTAGAGCTGCAATGCCATAAAAGTGAATGACCCTTGACTATGAAACATCCAGTGTGCACCAAAAGAAGGAACTTGATTCCAGTTAACCAACCTGAATTCCTTTGTGTGACAGATCAGCAGCTTCTGTAGATAGACATACTTAGACAAACACCTAGCCCCATAGAGCCAGATCCCCAGCTGGTGTAAATCGGTGTAGCTTCATTGATGCCAGCTGAGGATCTGGCCCATACTACTTTTATATGGAGCTCTTATAAAAGCCTAGAGCAAGGATCATTGCTCCTGCCATCACTGCTTCTTGTAAGAATGGTTTCAAATTATTTCAAAGAGGACATTGTATTTCTTGTCCTGAGCTTGATTGGCTGCTTCAGGAGACTCAACAGGCCTGGATGCACACTCGGTTTACACAGAGTGACCATATTTCCCCAAAATGACTTTCAGCAGAAAGAGTTGTGCGGGGCAAGACTTTATTGTCTCTGTGGCAGATGAGAAGTAGGTTCCCTTTGCTTCCATCACAGCAGTGGCAGAGGTTCAGAGGAATTCTGTTCCTGAATCTGCCTGTCACACAGAATTTTTCTCCAGTACTTCTCAGGTTTTCTTCCTTCTAGCTTTTTCTGTCTCAGGTCATCCATGAATGACACCAGAGCTGTAAGGCTCCCACGGGATAACATCTAGGGTGCCACCTATGAGGTACAAAAAACAGGATATCTGAGATGATCCTGATCCCATTAAACTGGACAGCTAGCAGTGTGTACTGAGCACCTGTACAGAGTTCCCGTGACAGCTACCTCCAAAAGGGGATGATCTTGGAAACACCTGGACAGAGGGCAACCTTAATAACATCACATGTGTGCTACGATGAGTGGAAGTGGAGAAAGAGGGTCAGGTTTCGGGAGGCACATGATTTAGTGCATTACCTGTGGCTGAGGAACGCAAGTTCTGACCATGCTACCCGCTCAGCAGGTAACATTAGCCTATGTGCATGTTTAGTAAAGATCTCTTTCCTACCGTTCTGCCTGCCTCTTATGTCCCTTATTGCTAATGAAACAATGGGAACCATTGCCTTTTCCCAGTGTTCGCTAGAGCATTTTATCTCAGAACTGTAAGATACTAATGATGCAAGTTAATATCTAGAAACTTTGAACAACAGAAGATTTAATTTAAGATAATGAACTTTAATAAGTCCCTTTCCCTTACTTTTCGGTCTGTCTTTCTAGATTGTGAGTCTGTCAGAACAGGGATCACGCTTTACTTAATTTTTTGCACAGTATTTTATTTTAGCACACTGAACGCTACTTTAAACAAATAGTAATAATTAATTATGCCAACATTGTCTGAATTTGCATGCCTAGAATTAGGTACTGAAATCTGTATGTGTATTCTATGTTGACACCTACATAAAACCAACCTAATTTTTCAGTGGCTCTGAATGCTCCCATTTAAGTCCCAGTGGAGTTACAGCACAGTAAAACCAGAATAAGTGTATTTATTAATATATTTCGCTTTATACGGAGTGTAATAAAAGAGCACCCATCCAAAGCTCTGAATCCCTGCGATATCTTTGGGAACCATCCTCTTGAAAAGATTTTAAAAAGTAGCATGATTAGCACTGACACAAAAATACACATTTTTAACACTAACATCAAGTCTGTCCTCTGTGGAGCAGGGTCTTGGAAATCCACAACAGCAATGGATAAGAAGGTCGACTCATCCCACAGTAAATGCCTGTGAAAGATTTTCAGAGTCTATTGGAAAGAGTTTATTATAACATTAGAAATTCTAAGTAGAGTACATCACCTTAAAGTATCAAACATGGCAAGAAGAAGACGATGGACATATTTAGGACACGCTTTAAGGATATCACCAACATGACTTCTATGTCAACTGACAACATGGACACCAGCTGGAAAGACAAAAAAGAGGGTGACCAAGAGAAACATTACGGAGGTCAATACAGAAAGAAGCTAAATCCATCAACATGACACTTGGAAGCCTGAACAGACCAGCACAAGACCACAATAAATGTCAGAAACTGCTGGATGCCTATGCACCTGCAGGTATAGGAGGATAAAGAGAAAAGAAAGAGAGCCAAAGTTCTGGTCCTCCTTGAGAATTTCTTTAAAATACATTAAAATAAATAGACCTGTCTGGTCCCCCTCACTAACCAAATACACAGCACCAACATTAATATAACTGTAATTAATTGACCCTGCACACAATCCCTGAAGTCCACTGCCATTGCTACCCTGTCCTGACATCCAGCTCCTCACCAGCCAGGAAGAAAAGGACACCTCTGAAGACAAACGTAGGGATGAAATGAGTTCCAAAGGTCCAAGGCCTTACCAGAGAGATCCCTGCCAGCCACGGAGCGTGGATAAAAATCAATTCTTTTTTCATTTAAAAAGGCCCAGATTTTGTTGTTTAAATTAAATACACGATTTAAAAAAAACTATTTAAAATGAACTTTGACATTGACAACGTATAATCAGTTTAGGCCTTAACATAACATATTAGTCATTTAAATTAAATACAAAAAATAATATTAAGCAGTACATGTTTGCTGCCAAATTTTAAAGAAAGTGAAATCGCTGAACTGGTGGAAATCACTGGTGTGACTGAAAGCTTCTGTATTCACACACTCTGCACCCCATTGTAATAATCTTTATACAAAATATGGCTGGTAAGTTATCATTTGAAAACTAATTCCTTGCTGGCAGTAATATCATGGTGAGATGTATGTAGCAACATTATAAGTAAAGTTATAAACATAAGCTGAAATCTCGACTGAAGAGTGTTTACAACACAAGTCTGGGGAAAAGATAAACTTGTTTCTCAAAGATAAAGGACAAGCTGACGCCTTTAGCCAGGTGTCAGCAAATGCATTTCTGAGGGGGGACTGAACTATAAAAGCAAGCGGCAAAAACAACACAAGTTCTCTCTCCCTATCCATCATGCCCTCCTTCACCCAAGAAGATAAAAGAAACAGCCTTTGGGAGCAGATCCTGAGAATTTGGTCAGCAGCATTACTGGGAACATGTGGTAGGGGACTTCACCTTGAACCAAGGCTAGTTTGTTAAGTTTTATATTTGGAAGCATGTTATCTTTATTTCTCTTGTAACTATTTATAGTTAACAGGCCTTAAGGGGCCATTCTGGCATCCAGGGATTCAGAGTATTGGGACACACCCTTAACCCCCTGCATTACAGCAGCTCTATACCACCTGAGGATTCCACAAAGCAGGGAGTGTCCTCATTGGGCCAAGTAATGTGGCATTAAGGCTCGTTAGCATGGCTGGAGCTATGTGAAGTTGCTGGATCAGGGCCAAGGATCTGTCCTATGATCCATTTCAATGGGTCCAGAATAATGAAGAGGAGAGTTTCGTCCTGAATGGTACCCAGCCTAATTTTACACTTAAACGTTACTGGTACGGGGAACATTAAATGGCCTTGTACCCTTTTTGCTTCTCTATGATGCGTAAAAAAGCTTGAACGTTGGGAGAAAGGGGCAGAACTGGTGGAGAAGGGAAATCTTTTTTTCTGCCTTTTAGCTTATCTTAGAAATATCAGGAGTGCCAAATCCGAGCTTCTCTGGTTTTGTTGGAGCAGTCCTTAGAGGGCCTGTATGCGCAGTGAGTTTTCTCAGCCCTTCACTGAATAGGTGGTATGTTGATTCTCCAACCGCATTTTCGTTTTGCCAAGGGAAAGTGGGACTAAATATACTCACCCACCTTTTGCAAAGAGCTTTAAGAGCGATGGGTGACCATCACTAAAGAAGGTCAATGTATAATAATGATGAATTATTTTTATGACGATTATGGAACATTCAAACAATCTGCAGCTGTGTCTGGTGAAAGGCATCGATACTGTTCCCTATTTCCCCCTCACCCTCTTTTTTCAGGTTCAGAGAATCCTGAGCGCATACAAACTGGGGGTGGGAAATGCCCTTTTTTATTAGCAATAAAACTCTGTCTTTTTCTCCTGATTATCCACAGATTTATGAATCCATAATCATTCACGTCACAGACTGAGGGAGCCGGGGCTGAAACAGGATAATAGCCTTTAAATCCCCTTCTCTGAGCACTCAGATCTTCCCTGTCAGCAAGATTAAAGCGGTCAACAGCAGTCCCCGTGTGTCTGTGTCCCTGCCTGAGCTTTAACAACAACTGGAGGTGGTGGCTGGACGGGAGAGAAATGTGAAACTGCCGCTGTGTTTGATGCTCCAGAGGGAAAGAAAGAAGCACTGTTTGTCTCAGTGGTGGTGGCAGTGGGGACTGGTGTTAGTCCCTCAGTCAGGTGGAGGCAAAGGAAGGAGAGGAGGAGGAGAGAGAAGCATCATGTTGAAGTTTAACCAAAGGAGACCATTCCCATTCTCAGACTGTAAAGGAAGGGAAGGAGCTGCAACAAATATTGTTCCCCCAGAAACCAATGCGGGAGAGGAGAAAGAAAGAATGTGCTCACAGACGAAGAGTGTGGTTTCTGCTACTACTCCATGGGCCTCTCAGTCTGTGCTGCCTGTGGGAACTGAGGGGAACTACCACTATTATGTGGAGGAGGAGGAGGAAGAAGAAGAGGAGGAAGATGAAAGGCAGCTGCAAAATCCGTCTCAGGAGAGAAGTAAGTTCTCGTCACCATTTCCCAGCCCCCCTGCCTTCTCCTCCAGAATAGCAGCGTCTGCTTCTTCCATGCTGAACATAAATGTAGGTGGCAAAAGTTACCGCCTCACCTACCAGGCAGTGGCCATCTACCCTAAGACCCGTCTGGGCCGCTTGGCCACGTCCACCGATCGCCATTGCCAGCTGGGTCTGTGCGATGACTATGCGGTTCAGGGGGATGAGTACTTCTTTGATCGGGACCCCGCTGTCTTCCAGCTGGTCTACAACTTCTACGCCTCTGGGGTGTTGCAGGTGCGCGACGAGCTGTGCCCACTCAGCTTCCTGGAGGAGCTGAGCTACTGGGGGGTGCGGCTCAAATACACACCGCGCTGCTGCCGCATCTGCTTCGAGGAGCGGCGTGACGAGCTGAGCGAGCAGCTGAAGGTGCAGCGGGAACTGCGTGCCCAGGCGGAGTCCCAGGAGAGCGAGCAGCTCTTCCACCACATGCGCTACTATGGCCCCCAGCGTTGGCGCCTCTGGAACCTAATGGAGAAGCCCTTCTCCTCTGTCAGCGCCAAGGCTATGGGGGTGGCCTCCAGCCTTTTTGTGCTCGTCTCTGTGGTGGCACTGGCTCTCAACACTGTGGAGGAGATGCAGCAGGTGGACAGGAAAAGCGGAGAGAGTCGCCCTATGCTGGAGCACGTCGAGACGCTGTGCATCGCCTTCTTCACCCTGGAGTATCTGCTGCGGCTGGTCTCCACCCCAGACCTGCGCCGCTTCGCGAGCAGCCCCCTCAATGCCGTGGATCTCATCGCCATCCTCCCCCTTTACTTCCAGCTGCTGCTGGAGTGCTTTGCAGACGATGACCAGCCCCGAGGCCGGGGCTCTCAGCACAAGCATGACATTGAGAAGGTGGGACGGGTGAGCAAAGTAGGGCAAGTGCTGCGCATCATGCGCCTGATGCGGATCTTCCGCATCCTCAAGCTGGCCCGCCACTCCACAGGCCTGCGCGCCTTCGGCTTTACCCTGCGCCAGTGCTACCAGCAGGTGGGCTGCCTCTTGCTCTTCATTGCCATGGGCATCTTCGCCTTCTCCGCCATGGTCTACTCTGTGGAGCACGACGTCTCCAGCACCAGCTTCACCAGCATCCCCCATGCGTGGTGGTGGGCTGCTGTAAGTAAATGCATTGCACTTTGCCGGGTAGCCATTGCTCCCTCCCCTGCGAGACTGGCTGCCTGTCTTGAAAACAGCAGGGCCATCCCAGATTTGTGAACATCTGTTCCGAATTCTGAGCTTTGCTTTTGCAGGACATGAGCTCTCGCACACACACACTCACCTCTGCTGCAAGCTTACATCGGTTACTGCATCAGGGTATAATCAGTGAAGCAGAGCTGGAAGTCAGTGGCTATTTGTGACTATGCCACACACATCCGCTTCCACTGCTGCTCATTAAAGAAAGGGGAGGAGGATTTGTATGTGGGTGGGGGAAGTGTAGCATTTCTTTCTAGTGTCAGCATTGCAGAGAAGTATACTGCTAATAGTTTGGGATAAATGTATTGTACAGAGTTCCCCCCCCCTTTTGGGGGGAGTTTGTAAAAGGCTGCACTGACCCAGCATGACAAAAAAGGTTGTTCTGATTACATCTCTCAACATTTAAATCCTCCAACTTTATGGAAGTTGAAGTAGCTGCAGATGCCTGGCCCTGTAAAATATTTTGTAATGGGCAGTTGTCCAACAGTAGGTGGCATCTCTACAACACACTCAAAATGGCATTTGGTTGTAATTTATACAATACCAGTGGCAGACAAAAATAGATCAGGTGGGGTCTGAATGGCTCAAGGGATTAGTAATGGGATACAGAGCCATTTGCATCTAGGTCACTAGTTTCAATCTAGTATAGGTCAGTAGTGACAGGAAGTTGATGACATGACATGTCATGGCTGTTTAGGAGGAATGAGTAGGTGGTCTCAGGCTAGTTCCTAGTGGGCAGAGGTTCATATTGCAAAATCACCAGTGGCATGGTTGCTGGTGGTCTTAGCTGAGAGGCCAGAGACTGGGCTGACATGGAACCTGAGGAACCTTTTCATCTTTAGTGTTTACACTTGTGGATGAGGTTTGAGACACAGGGGCAAATCTGCACAGGGAATCTTTCACAGCCATTGTCTGTGCTGTACTTGTGACTAAACAGAGGACTTCAGTCTGTTGCACAGCATTTCCCAAAATGGGGGACGCACTCTCTTTGGCTGAGCCAGGGCCCATTTGTACAGATTTTCCCCATGCTGCCCTACTATCATGGCAGGGCTGAAGGCTGGCCCACCACTGACTTTACTCCGAGGTGCTGACTGAGTACCCCTAAAAGCCAAGCTAGGAGAGCCTATGCATTAGCAGTGTCCCACAGAACCTTTCTTCTCAGCCACAGCATTAAACATGCAGGGACTCATAGTTTGGGGGTTGGGGAGGAAGAGATCGTTCCTTTGCGAAGTGGTCTGCAGAATGAAAGAGCAGGAAGGCCACAGGTCTATTGTTATTCTGTGATAGCTGTGGCAGGACAGCATGGTGCATGCTAGATTGTCAAACTAGAGTGAGAAACAGACACGCATGGTAATATGGCTAGTACTGAAAGAACAAAGGGCTCAAATCTCAGTTGCAGCCAGTATCGTCTGGGAGGAGCATTTGTGGGGAGAAGGGATGCAAAGGCTCTGCTTGCAGTTCCCTGATTCTAGGGCCAGTCCTAGCCCCAAAAACAACAAGGAGTCCAGTGGCACCTTAAAGACTAACAGATTTCTTTGGGTATAAGCTTTTGTGGGTAAAACCCACTTCTTCAGATGCATAGTTAGGGCTACTCCTTTTTACAGCAGCTGACTCTGGTCTATAAGGAGCCATGGGTCAACTCAGAATAGCCAAACCGCAAGTCTGCTGGCCACATCCCTGACAGACACCCCAGACTGTGGGCTACAGCTGTGCACTTCTTTTCTGGCTCTCTGCCAGCTCTGGAAGCTCTAGCTTGGGAGGCCGAGCTCCTTTCCAGTCCTTTTGCATCACTCCAGCTACCAGCAGAAAAATCTAGTCGCATTATTTTTTAACTTCATGTGCTGAGTGCCCCTGAGCCTGGCTACTGGGGTGCCCAGCACATATTGGAAAAGTTACTGGAATGCAACATTTTGCCTTTGCAGGTTCCCGTTTAATCAACAGATATAGTACACCCAGAGGTTATAAATTTCATGCTGAACACTCCAGTGGAATATTAGGACAGTAAACCAAGACCCATGGGTGCCATTTTTCTGCATATATCCAGTTGCATACATCCAATCATTCATAGAGCCGGGAAGCAGTAAAAATACATACAGCCCAATCCTGCAAACACTTATTGATGCGAATAGTCTTTATTCATCCAAGTATTCCTGTTAGACTTAATGGGATTCTGTTAAAAAAGGTTTGTACATAAGAGCAAGGGTTTGCAGGTCTGTCTTTAATGTGCAAATAGTAATTACGTGGCATGGCTCTCTTTTACCCCCATGCATTATAGGAAAAAATTAAGAGATTCAGATAAGTTAAATAGTGGATAGCTTTGTCAGTCACACACACAAATGATTATATCCTCAAAATTCTCATGTGTAATACAAGAGTGAATGTAAGAGGACTAAACCCTTAGCACAGGATAATAATCTTGTAGGGGCTATGGTAGATATATATCTTGCTTTCAACTCAGTATTTGAAGATATTGAGCCTTTATGATCATTCAATGCCAGTGACTTCAGTGCTATTAAACCAAATGCCTAATGCCTTTTATGGTACAGGTGCAGCCCCATGTAATCTACTGTTTCATTCATCTGAAATAACATTCTGTCTAAAAGGTGAGAAGCTGGCACACTGCCTGCCATAATGTTCAAAAATTAATTCAGTGCTCTAATCACAAGAGCACTGGGCTGGGACTACACCTTCCTGTGTTTTAGCCATTTCTGCTAGCATGTTTCTTATTATTATTATACACAGACACAGGATTATGAACTAAATGAAAACAAAGTTCACAAACATCAAAATGTATGTAGTAGACGTAGACTGGTAATTCCCTCTTGGGCTCTATTCTAGACCAAATGTTACTGGGGCAGTTCTAACTGTTGAAGTATTTCATGTCAATGTAAAAGCCAGCATAATACCTTCCCCATCAGTGTATGGCAGAGCAGGAAAAAAAATGCTCCTGGATGAAGAAGGGCATTCATTAAAGTCTCAGAAGAGCTATGGATAACGAGATGGCAAGATTCACACTTTCACGTAATATGGTGATGTCTAAAGAATTATTTCCTGAACTTTAAAAATGATTTCACTGAAACAGCTATGGTTGTCACTGAGATCTGGTGTCAAAAGTCCCAGGGCAATCCTATGCACTCAGCCACCATCCCCTCTGTGCCTGGAACATGGCAGAATTTGAGCAGGAAGAATAATCACTCACTTACTGACATACACTTCAAACAAAACAAACTTTTAAGCAGCTGAAAAGGCTCTTTGTTATTTAGACACTTCCTTAGTCTCCTTATTTTAAAAAAAATCCATATTAAAATGAGCTGATGAACCGTTCTTCCCAGATGCAAGTGTTTTAAAATGTATTTCACTGCTAGCGGACACACCTCAAGTCTGGGACCTGCTCTTCACCACATTCACCACTTTATGCACCTAACAGGTAAAGGTAAAATTCACTTCACACATACTTCACCCTCAAAGCCCAAGTTATTGGGCTGAAGTGAATGGGGGTTGGGGGGGGGAGGGGTGAAGACCAGTCCGTTCCTTAAAAACAGGGTAAGGGCACAAGGCTGTCATGCAGCTTCAACCCAGCCTCTACTGCAGCTAGTTGCACAGAGTGGTAGGTCACTGGATGGGTCTGGTCATAAATCTGTGTCCATGCTCCTGGACCTAACACACACTACCATCTATGCAGACCGGCTTGTGGTTGGCTCAGGGATGCTGTCTGCAGCACACAGTGGAATCCAGAGGTCTTCCTAATTACAACAGTGGGGTTAATTATTTAAGGATAGTTTTTACACTTTGGGATGGTAGCCTGTGGGGGAACAATGTAGAGTCAGTGTGTAATAATTCAGGCTTTTAGTATACAAGTGTTCAAAATATCTTAACTGTGCTGAAAAATCCGTATTCCCCAGCTGGCTAGATTAAAGAAAGGTGTGTGTGTGCGCTCCTCTGTTTGGCTAATAGATTATTATTGATTTGCCTATAGGTCAGCATCTCTACAGTGGGCTATGGTGACATGTGTCCAGAAACTCACCTCGGATGCCTGTTTGCTTTCCTCTGCATTGCTTTTGGAATAATTCTGAATGGAATGCCCATCTCCATCCTCTACAATAAATTCTCAGACTATTACAGCAAACTGAAGGCCTATGAGTATACAGCTGTAAGGAAGGAAAGAGGCAAGATTGACTTTATACGACGAGCCAGGAAGAAAATGTCTGAGTGCTGTGAAGAAGGCCCAACCCATTATTTACCAAGGCCTAGATACAATTAATACTCCAGGAAAGATAAAGGGACAGAGGAGCAGAAGGGGAAAGCAGAGGAAACACTATTACAACGGATCACCCAAGTCAAATAAAGATAAAGCAACAGCTCTAAAAGGAATAAGAAAATACTGAAGGCAAATCTCAAACTTTAGTCTTTTTAAAAAATTACAGATCTATTTTACTAGTTTCTTCACAGCGTCTTTTTGCTGGTGCTCATTCTTACAGCAGCAATGAGCCTGGTTTATATGTGCGATGCCAGCGTCGATGGCGCTCGATGAATTATCCAGCCAGAGACTTTGAGTTGTATAGCTGAAGCAGGGCTGTAATGCCATGCCTGATACACATCCTACAATAATGACCCACCATGGCCAAATCAAAAGAAACCGAGTCTGTTCCCATGCAGTGGCTGCTACTCAGCAATAGGCAGGATGACTCTTACCTCAAAAATTAAACAGATGTAGAAGGGGGGAAAATATATTGCTTTGCAGTGCAGAAATAGGTTATGTATTAGGTTTTTAAACATGGTGCGGACACAGATAGTATGGACCCGCTATAGCTACATCAGTTGCTTTCACATATAAACATCTTTCTTAGGTTTTTGGACCTTATTTGTCCTATACCACATAGTTCATGGTTCGATTTGCCAATATTATTTTTAATGCAGCCTTGCAGAATTGTACTTGCTTCCTGGCCCAGAGCGAGTAACTTTAGGAGTGAGAAAAATGTTGATTTTATTCTTTTTTGTTTTTTCCATTAATATCTGCCCTAATGGCAAAGAACTGGTTAGTAAGTTTGGCTAAACATTTGTGATAGATTTCCAAGCCCATTTTAATGCAAAAAAATCTGTTTAAGAATACAGATGTAAACTAAATGTACTTTATATGAGCAACCGTGTTTAATGTTAATATCGTCTATTAGTGTGTTAAGAACTATATGGGTTAGTTGTGGTTCAGATCTAAGTTAAAATACAGTTCTGAAAACATAAGAGCGGGCATACTGGGTCAGACCAAAGGTCCATTTAGCCCAGTATCCTGGCTTCTGACAGTAGCCAATGCCAGGTGCTTCAGCGGGAATGAACAGAACAGGTAATCAGCAAGTGATCCATCCCCTGTCACCCATTCCCAGCTTCTGGCAAACAAAGGCAAAGGACACCATCCCTGCCCATCAAAAGGGAAAGGACATGGTTAGCTAATAGGGCATTTTCTTCCCCAGGATCTTAGCAATAGATCTTCCAGTAGTTTTGAAACTATACTTATAAGAAAAGAAGCATTTGAATTTGTTTCAACATTGATAAAATCATAATAAATGAGGATATGAGTATACATTGATCCGCTTGATAGAATTATGTACATACTGAGGAGCTAATTCTCTCTCTCTGTCTCTCACACACCCCCCAATCACTTTCAGTAGTATTGTATTCCATGAGAACATCATTTTAAATCAATGGGCTTATTTGCATAACAAGGTCTACCTAACGCCCTATTAATAAGAATAGCCCCTTGCGCACACACACACACACACCCCCACGCGGCCCTGCCTTGGGGGCAGAGGGAGGTGGCCTCTTGAGAGCTAGGGGGGCTGGGACTTGAAGGCACGGGGAGGGAGCCCCTGGGAGCTCAGTGGACATGCAGGGGTTCTAAGGGGACAGGGAGCCCCCCCACACCCCAGGAACTTGAGGGATTGGGACCTGGGAGTACAGGGAAGAACCCCCAAGGAGCTAGATGGCCATGGAGTGCTAAGGGGACAGGGAGGGACCCCTCTGGGCCCTTGAGGGACTGGGAGCTGGCCGCTGGGGAAAAGCGGGAACCTGGAGGCACAGGGAGAGATCCCCTGGGGACTGTGGGGGGGCTGGCCCCCGAGGGCACATGGAGGGGGTCCCTGGGAGCTGAGCAGTGGGGACCTGGAGGCACAGGGAAGGCCCATCGCATCGCAGAGCTGGTAGGGGGTTGGAGGCACAGGGAGACTGCCCTGACCACTAGGCTCAAAGCTGTGAGGGCTCACCCTACTCCTCCTCCCCATGTCCCCCCCCCCAGCCATTTTGTGTAAGCTCAGCCATGGGGCCAATTCGGTAGGTGAGCGCTGAACCCACGCACTGGCTCAGGCCCTACAGGTCGAGCCCTGTAGCCCCACGGCCAGCCGCTTTATCTCCGTGAACTGTTCCTGCAGGTGCAGGTTCACATTTTGCAGCTGCCCTGGGCTCTGGCAGTTAGCGTCAGGCAGGCAGCTGTGATGAACCGCGGCATGGATCCTCCACATGCCCGGGACAGAGGGGCAGGGACACGGGCCAGAGCCTGCTTGGCCCCCCCGCCCAAGGTAGGTAGAGGGGCCACTACGGCTCCCCACAGCTACCCGACCGGGCTGCAGGGAGGAGGGATGCGTCGGAGCCTGAATCCGGCCCCTGGTGCAGAGCCCCTGTCGAGCTGTGGAAATCCACATGTGCAAATATCTGCAGATAATTTTTGCGGATCGGATGTGGATACACATTTGCGTATCCATGCAGGGCTCTACTTCCAGGCTAATTAGGCAGGCACTTAAATCCTTGTGTGAATCTAGCTTTAGGTGCATTCATTTAAAAAGTCTTCATTATTCTTACCTCCTCTTCCACTCACAAAGGCTTCCATGTGTGTACTCAGTGTACTAAGCTTACTAAAATGAAAGTCACGTACTGTATGTCAAGGATCTTAAAACCATCCAGTGTAGCCTTGGGTGTTTGGACACCATGAGGACAACAGTAGTTGGATAATTGAAGGAATCTTCCATGCTTGTAGTAAACATCAGAGGAAATACGAGGAGGGGCAGACCATAAGACCTTAGCTAGAAGTCCTTGTTTTGTGTAACAGAGAATTTGGGATAGTTAAGATGGTGGGTTTTTTCATGGCATTGTGAAATTAAAATTCTGTCCTGTTAATGTGCCATGTTTGAGTTTGTTGCATTGTAAGCTATTACAGATACTAATGAGCCCTTGAGGGAGGCTAAAAATACATTATTTCCATGTGTTTCAATGCAGGCTTAGCGAAGATCTTCACTCCAGTATTCAAGGGAGCAGCCAGTGTTCAAGATGGACTGGTCTCATCCATTAGAACAATTAATTATTGTTCCCCCCACCTTATTTTAACCCTACAGGATTAAAAGGAAAAGCAGACCTCCAACGTTTCAGCCCCCAACATTAAAAGAAAGCCGCATTGGAAAGAGCTTTTGCACAGATGCTTGTCTGAAAAGATCATCACTCTGTAGGTGCAATTAAGCATATAAGTTTATTTTTCTAATGTAGAAATATAGCTGTTGAAGGGGCAACCAAAGAATAATAATTTAATGGGGATCTGGTACTAGTCCCGTGCCTCCAAAGCAAGTAGTAATTTTTTATCTTAAACTAGGCAGTTTTAGGTTTAAGAATCATAAAGAGAGTTATCTAAAAAAGTTCAAATTTTTAAAAAATGAAGGGACTTTATTAAAACCCAAGATAATGGAAACCTCTTTTGCTCACTTCAGATAGCTTAAAAAATATCTTTAGCTGTTTTGGTTACTGAGTTTGTCCTATTTTTATGTAACCTAAATTATATTTGTGCCCTGCTTATCTGTTACTTACATAACCTTTATTAACTTTCTTATTTACTAGTAGAGAAATTGGACAATATACAACAGTCATTTAGGACTTTAGCTTGGATTGGTAAATGAAAGGTCGAAGGCACAGAGGTTGTTGGTTTTTTAATGTATTTTGGAACACATAATTTAAAGTAATTTAATAAAAATAGTCTGAGTAACCTAAAAATAATCCAGGTGACTTTAGACAGGGGATTAGCAAACACCTCATTATAAAGCTACTGACAGTTGATGTTCAATTCCACTCCATAAAGCGATTTTGGAAGAATGGCAGTGTGAGGTTCCATATTTACTGTCTCAGTAAATTCCACATCTAGTTTGCTCAGTTTACAAGCAAAAGAATTTTTCCCTCCCTTAACTGCTGCCTATGCAAACCCAGGCTGTGATCTGAAAGTCAAGTTCTGTTCTGTCCTTCCTACCCATTGTTACCAGTAATAATGATTCTGCATAGTAAGTTTTCTCCTCATTGTGTAACCCGATTGCCTTAATTGATTTTGGTAGGTGAAACTGGCTGGAATATGTCTACTGCTAATTGACCCGTGGCCACTGGGAGCTGCGGACAGCCAATGTAAACAAACTGTTGGATTACCCTGACAGGCCACAGGTGTCCACCACTGCTTTAAGGCAACAGCATGTGCTGGAAGCAGGTTAAAACCAGAACTAAGAGCACTGCACGGTTAACACCAGATTTTACCTGGGTTCTACCCCACTACTGTCCATACAGAAAACTCTATGATCTGGGTTTGGAGATGCTTTAAGACAGGGGTTCTCACAACAAAATTTTTGGTGGCCTCAAAGTGTGGCTACCAACTCTTGCTGGTGGCCACTATGACAATTTTTCCTAAAATACTTAATTAACTTTAGAAAAAATATATAAATATGAACATATACATGTCCAAATCATTGTAATCTATGTAGGGTTGTTTTTTGTTTTTTTTTTGCAGACAACAATAAAAATCATGTACTGTTGTCTCTGTTCTTTACTAGACCTAAACAGAATAGATATGGTGCTTTGCATGTTCTTGTCTTATTGTTTCTTTTGGTTGCATTTTTGTTTTAGCCTTGCTAGCTAGTAAGTCTACTTCTGTAAAAAATGGTATTTTTATGTTTGTTAATATCACTTTTCACAGCAGCAGACTTGTTAGCTAGCTGGGAGGCAGTGAAACATGATATTAACAAACATACAGATATCACTTTTCACAGCAGACTTACTCAGCCCTGGCAAGCTGAGGGACAAATTAAGGGCTTGTCTACACTACGCACTGGATCAGCAGGCAGTGATCGATCCAGCAGGAGTCGATTTATCGCATCTACGTGATAAATTGGCCGCTGAGCACTCTCCTGTTGACTCCGGTACTCCACCAGAACGAGGAGCGTAAGCGGAGTCGATGGGAGAGCGTCTGCTGTTGACTTACCGCAGTGAAGACACCGCAGTAAGTAGATATAAGTACATTGACTTCAGCTACCTTACACACATAGCTGAAGTTGCGTATCTTAGATCGACCCTGCGCAGTAGTGTAGACAAGCCCTAAGTCTTGAATGAGGAGGTAGGGAGGGAGGCAGCGGGGGCCATGGTGATGGGGTGGATGGGTCAGGGGATGGAGCGCACCAGGCCCTGCAGCTGGGGGCCTGAGTCTGTGGACAGAGATGAATTTCCCCACTCTTTTTACTTGCATAAGACAATGTCGATGCCTAAAAACTTCCCAAAAAGTCACTGCACAAAACAGAGCTGATTCCAGGCACTGGCCCAGGGAACTCAGGGATTTGTTTAATATTCAGCCTGCATGTTTCAAAAAGGTCAGTGAATGTTTTTACAATTTCACTGCCATTTTTTTTCCTTTTAGGCCAGGGCCCACATGTTCCAAGTTTAAAAGGAAGTGTAGATAAAATAAGAAAGTGCCAAAACCCAATTAACAAAAGAAAGAAAAACAAAAACCATCACCACAGCTGACCAGTGAATCTGATGGCACAAGCTAAAGTTACTTTAATGGTAAGTTGAACGTACTAAGCTTTCGACCAGCTTCACTAATCTTCATCTTTTTGCTGATAGGATTAACAGGCAGCGAACAATGCACATTCTCAAAATCACAAACATGTGTTTCTCTGCTTTAAAACAAGATATGGCCGGAGCCAAATGGCAAGCTCGGGAGCTGTAATGGAATGGTGGATCAGAAAGCCAAAATGAGCTGGCTTTCTGAGTAAATTCTTATTTTGCTGCATAGGGGGGCTATATGAATTAGTAACTCTCCATGCACTGGAAGCAATACAAAATCCTTTATGACAGAGCTGATTTAATGTAAATCTCTTATCTGGTCTCCCAAGAGCCCAGGATGCAAAATGCAGTGCTTTTAGCACCCATTGCTCAGACAAATTACGCCTCTCTGAACACTTTCAATGGCTCTCTCTTGTCTTCTGCATCAAGTTCAGCCTTCTCATCCTCCTCTTCAGAATTCTGCCCCTGGCTACATCTCTGCTCTCTTGTCCCCTTTGCTACACCAACACATTCTACCACATCACTCCCTTGCTTCTGTGCTGTCTTTCATGCTGCTTTCTAGGCCTGAAATGACATCCCTGACCCAAAGTGCCAGGTGCCGACTCCTCTCCTCATTCAAACCCCTCCTTCAAGTTCACCTCATTCACAAAGCCCACCAATGCTGTGTCAATAACAATGCTGACAATCACCCTAAAAATATGGCCCTCTAAACT